GATAATCGCGAAAAACGAAATCGCCTAAAAAAATTAATTTAATTCATCTTGTATAGGGTGTAGGAAATGGAAAAACGCAATTCTGAGTCGTCCATCTGCCTATAGGGAACCCAAATTTCCTCAGGAATCGAATGGAATTGGTTTTAAGGCTCTATCTCATAGTTAATTGATGGTGAATTTAATTCTCCGTCGAACAGCCTTTTTTTCATCCCTTAATCTTAATTAGGAGGGGAGAGGTGAATTTTTAATTCGGAGGCGAATGCTGAAAAGTCACTGTGCGCCGAAAAGAAAATTATTTTTCTCACTGGCCCATGACTTTTTNATGGTGAATTTAATTCTCCGTCGAACAGCCTTTTTTTCATCCCTTAATCTTAATTAGGAGGGGAGTGGTGAATTTTTAATTCGGAGGCGAATGCTGAAAAGTCACTGTGCGCCGAAAAGAAAATTATTTTTCTCACTGGCCCATGACTTTTTTCGTAGTTTGTATTTTTTTGTTACAGAGATTAAGGGATACAACGGGGATCGATTGATGGGGAATTTAATTCTCCCTCACACCGTCTGTGTTTCATTCCTTAATATTAATTAGCCAGAAAATGAATCACAAAAAGGCTGTCTGATGTCTGTCCAAAAAGGTAACTTGTGTCTAGAAGTTACCTAGAAGTTAACTAAAAGTTATCGTATGACTGCAAGATAACTTTTGGACGGACATTAGTCAGCCCTTTTGTATACTTTCAGATATCTTTCGCAAGGTTTGCTACTTGGGTTGGCGCACTACCATCAGATTGGTTCCGCAATTTAGTAATTTTACAAACCACCACCAGACGGCGAGAAATGGCTTTTGCGATCGCGAATTGCTTGTGCCTCTGTATTGTGCGTTGAATTGTTGCTTATTTCATGTTGCTTATAGCCTGTAACCTATATTTGTTGCTTATCGCTTGTGCTTTTTGATTCTGCGGAGGCCCTTATTTTGACGATTGTACAAACAATCCCCCCCCTCCCCCCTAAAGAGCTGTCGACCGAATGCAGCACATTTATAAACATTGTTCATTATCAAATGAAAGAGTGAATTAATCAATTAAATGTTCGACTACCTTTGACCACCACATGATTCTGTATAAATTCATGCATCGAGTTTTAAAAAATGCACTCCCCCCGCCGACCATGGATGAAATTTTTGACTGTTTATAACTAATTGATTTTTACCACAAAAAAAATTAGGAATTCGACCACCTTTGACCACCTTCCGACCACCAAGCGATTACAATAATCCCAATTTACATTCCATTAGGGAGTTTTTGGCCAATTCAAGAACTAATGGCGCCAGGGTGCTACCGGCTTTCCAACATGCCGGCTCCCATGATCGAAAGAACATAACCTGTTGTAAACATTTGAATGGTGTGTGCTCATGTGTGCTCAAGGACCTCCGAATTGATATAAATCAGTTAACGATGGTTTACCCTTGCTCTTTCTCTAATTGCAAGAACAAATGTAGATTTCAGATCCCATCGAAATCTCCGCATATTCGTCAGCAGTGGTTGGATTTTATTGGTATTCAAGATCTGAACCCGGGAAGGGGTTTATGCGAGAATCATTCCAGTTTCAATTAAATCATTAGTGAAAGTGAATCTACAGGTAAATGATTTTATCCTATTGTTCCGCCTAATATGATAAAACAGCTTAAACAAATAAAAAAGAATACACACTGGTTTCTTAGGACCAAAATAAATTAGAGCGAGGTTGAAGACTAATGCTGTTCTTACGATAAACGTTCTTTCAAAATGTATTACCTACTTACTCAAAGATAAACAAACATTTCGCCCCAACATCCATAGAATTGGCTATTTATACACTCCCGCCAAAAAAATCAGCCGGTGGCTCTATGGCGCCCTCTGCATTGAGTTTAATAAAAACAACCTAATAAGTTGCTCTCGTGTCCGCCTCTGCTGTTTCCCGAGCTGGTTATTTTGTAATATAGATGGCGGGTCCGTTGCCCGTGGAGTGCCAAAGCACTCTGCTGCACAAGTGCGGGTTTTGTTTAAATAATTGTACACAAACACTGGATTTATGTAGAAGATAAAATTATAATGAATATATTTGCACTTTGACTTTCGTTGACAATAACAAATAGAAACTTTGAACACAAACTCAAAGGAGAAGATCTCTAGATCTTCACTAGTCCACGTAGGTGGTGGATCTGCTGTTAATTCTAGTCTTAAAATTATTCTAAGTCTAACGCGCGAAAAAGTCATCCCACTCGAAGGAGTGGGGAGCCAATCATGTCCTTGAACTTGGTCGATGGGGTTGGTCTCACACCCCCACAACCGTTCGCTCTAACCCAGCCCCAAACTCTCGGGCCTACGTGACCCAAACAAAGGGCCTCACCCACACATGTTGGGGAAAACAAGGGAAATTCTAAAGTTTTCTTGGGAAAGAAATAAACTCTCTCAAGAAAGGTTTTTTTGACTCCGACGGGTCAAATTGCACTCGAAAAACTCATCATATAAGAAAAAAGAGGTACTTGAAAGGGATTAACCTCCGGGTGGTCTGAGGATGTTGGGACATTCCCCAGTTTATTGCTCTTTTCCTGTTCTTGGGTTTTTCCCGAGTCTTTGTTCAATGAAAACCTAAACATTTCTCTATTTTAAAAATTATTAAAAAACATCTCGATGAATTGACTTAGAAATTGAAAATAATAAATTTGAATATAAATCCTAAAGTTAGGGAAAATGGCGGTCGCCTAGGGACCCTGCAACCGTCGCTGGTGCATATGCGACACTGCATCGAGTCCTCAGTGTTGGTAGCACTTCCCCCTACCACAGTGAGGAACAAAGCTTCCAGGATTAGAGGAAGAAGAAGAGTCCTCAGTGTTTGTCCGCGGCAGTCCGCGGCATCGTTCTATCCGCTGTCCGTGAACCTTTCACGGCGGAATCCATCACAACTTGATAATCCTCTATCGTCCGCAGCGAAAAGTGATAGTAAGGTGAGGTGTCACGTCGTATACCCATTTGCTCCGATATTTTGCACTCTGCCGATGCACCAGGAATCACCGAATCGCCCCAACCAAAGAACACAAATATTTGCGACAAAAAAAGAATCATCCGCCTATAGTCGTTCGTTTGTTACGATTGTTTTCTGCGTATGTATGGGAGTGATTTTTTAGTATTGGTGAAGCAATAGAGAAACAAGCTTCACACGAACAACGGCACTGAGGAATATCCGGGCGCGGTTTAGCGAGGAGTACGTTGAAACAGTAAATTATTACTCCCTATTATGTACTGAAAAATGGTCTGATTGACTCATCATGACTGTCGATTTTGCTGATTACTTCTGGGTGAGTTTAATCAACAATTCAATTATTCTATAGAATATACTCTACTAAATAAACACAAGTGATTACGTATTAGCTTGATGTCAGTGATTTCACGTCATGCCTCGCACATCTGTATTAGTACTTAGTCAGTTCATCTCTTGGTGCATTATGAAAGGTTAGGTCCATTGAAAATGCCGCTTTACTCGAAAAAAATGATTGATAAGATGAAAATCACGAGAAACATGTCAGCAGTTCGACTCATAATTCTTCCCGCAAAAAACGCATAAATGATGACGAGCGGGTTAACGTGTATGAAACGCTAGATTTGATGTGTCCTTCGGTATTTCTTTTGTTTATTCTCTTACGCTTTGCGGCTACCGTCCTTTCTCTTTTTCATATTCTACGATTTTACTCGGGAGTTTATACTCTTCTTGAGGGTTTTGTTGGCGTATATTAAATTTGCCAAAGAAGTAACCTCGATTTCAGTGGTGGGGACACGAGCACAAGGGGAGATTTGGGTAGAGTGGGGGTATACGGCTGAGGTTCCTCCTTTGCCAAGATAAGAAGTACTTCACTGGTTGGGTGAACAGGCCAATCGCTGGACGGTTAAGGAAAATTCGAGTTTCGTAGTAGGGTAAACAGGTCAATTTCTGGACGGGGGTTAGTTTCTGGACGATTTCAACTTAATATTCCACAAATAAAATGAAAATTGTATTAATTAATTCACCTCTCCATAATATCCTTTGAGTATAATCATGTGATCAATTATTTTCTTCTATTGATCAAGATTTAATAAATAAATAAAATATCACCCAGTCGTCCAGAAATTGGGGGTTTCGTCTACATTCAACTATTTCTCAATTTAATTATTCTTTGTTTTTTTATTTTCACTTCAAACAATTTTTTTCTGCTAATTAAAACATTCTTGAAGGTATGGGAGCCATCATATCGCCATTTAGGTGATTCTTTTATTTTAGATCCTATCACGAAACTCGAATTTCCTTTAACCATCCAGTAATTGGCCTGGTCACCCTAGAATCTAAAATAAAAAAATCGCCTAAATGAGGATATGACGGCTTCCATACCGTGAAGAATGTTTTATTTAGCAGAAAAAAATTATTGGAAATGAGAATAATAAAACAAAGAATAATTAAATTAAGAAATAGTTGAATACTGCCGAAACTCGTAATTTCTGGACGACTGGGCCCATTTTTTTTTTATTTATTAAATGTCGATCAATAAAAAAATAATTGATCACATGATTATACACGAGTAATATTATTGAAAGGTGAAATAATCAATATAATGTTCATTTTATTTATGAAATATTCAATGATGCAAGTTGAAATCGTCCAGAAACTAACCTCCGTCCAGAAATTGACCTGTTTACCCTTGTTGCATGTCACCTGTGCATTCGCATGTATAGGATCACATGACTATATGGGATCTTGTATTGAGAATCGGAAGAATATGCCGGAAATATTGGCATTCTGACATGAAATTTATAGACATTCGTTGATCATAAATATGCATTTTAGTAAATATGAAATACTTAGTGTTTTATGTGCCATTCAGATGGACTTTAGTATCGCGTGAAATTTTTGAGTCATACGAAAGTTCATCATATTCGCGACAAGTTGAAATTGCTTCAATTGTGTATCTATGTCAGGACTTCTGAGGACTGAGCATATTTGAGTAAGAGAGGGTGAATTTTTTCCATGTTCATAAATCAATGACAAATTTATCAATTGAGCTCGATGTAGGCTCATCCCAAAGGGAAAGATCCATACGTTCCAGGGAGAGAAATTGTCTCACCGAATATAAAAACCAATGAATTAACATTCTATAAAAATCTATTTTGCCCCACTCACCCCTACTTTGATCTTTCCCTTGCTGAAATTCTCTTCAACATTTGTAGTTAAACATTAGAGTTTCCATTTCCGTTTCTTTTGTTTAGCCGTTAGAAGACATTTCAAAAATCTAGTCTAGTATAGACTATTTGAGTAATGAAGCCTGCCGACTGACAGTACATCAGCCAGAGTCGTGCGGACACTGATTCTCAAAATTCGTATGGAATATTTGAGATTGGTGAGGCTTGTCGACTAAGGATGCAGCCGTGTGGACGATCAGAATCGTATGGACACTGATCCTCAAAAATTCGTGTACAATATTTGAGATTGACATGAAGCCTGTTGACACCAACCACAGTCGTGGCAAAATTTAAGCTGAATAAAAACCTCATAATTGATGAACTCTTTATGTTGAGTAGTCGGCAGCAGTTATTTTCTTATTGAAATTCCGATTCATTTTTCAATCACTTGTTACGTTTTCTAGTTGTTCACACAATTTGTTACGATTTCTTAAGGTTTCCTTCCCACAATGATGATCCTTTACATATCCCACGTAAGAAACACTCCACTCTGACGCGATTTAACATGATGAAAATACCTAATATTAAATAAAAACCGTTTTATGAGAGGAGCAAACAACGAAAAACAATATGAAGTGCGACCCTAGGGATAATATAGCGCGCGGCGCCAAAAATTTTGAATTTATAGGCGTTAAAGGTTGTGGTGCTAGGCGTAGCATGACTACATTATTATCATCCATAACGAGACACTGGAATGTAATTACTCTGTGGTTCGAATCGGATAACTCATAATTTTTTTATGCACGTTTCATTATAAGTTAGCTCAATTTGCGGGATCAGCTCTTTAAATTAATGGATTTATTTATTGGGATGATAATTAAGACGATTTTAATGAAATTTTGTACGTGACATGTCATATTGTATCGTTCTTTCGTGAAAAACATGCGATATTTTTTTAACCCAATAGTCTCTGAGAAACTTACAAAAGGATTGATATAAATTTCCAGATCCCATTTCGCTGCAAGATTTAACAACCCTCCCTCATCGATCAACTCTCAGAAATAATTACATCGTTTCGTAATTGCAATCTTTCCAGAAACCCACAGGATATACAGATAAACGATCCCAGCGACATTAGAAATAAATGAGAAGAAAAATAATGTAATTTTCAAGGCTCTTAGTTTTACGAGGTGAAAGACACAATAATCGGTGCAATTATGATCTTCGCATGACAAGTATCAGTTTCATATCCACACTTCCTCAGCTGATTCTTAACTGAAATAAAAATAATTAAATTTTTTCACCCGTTAATTTTGAGTTTGCACTGAGTAACTTGGAAAAGCGAGGGAAACCGGTCGAGCCAGTGGTACCTTAGCCTTGTCGTGTTGACGCGAATACAAACTCCGCTCGCCGCCACTATTCATCTCGGAACAAAGTCTTCATAGAATATAGAAGTGCAACATTGAGACTATTATCAAGTGAAGGAAAATGCCTCGAGTCATTATTTCATTCCTAACGTGTTTTTAGTAGCTCTGAGCGTCTCCAGGAGCATGCCATCTTGCATTCTTTATCAATCATATCATGCAGCGGCTGGAAAAAAGGGGAACTCTTGTGCGTCACTGGAAAATGCAATTGTCAAGCAATTGAGGGGGACAGACGACGCACTTCAGCGATCATTCTCGTGCATCGCGCGAAAAGGATAATTTACAAATAATTTTAAAAAACGAGATAGAGTGATTATGTCAAACGTTCCGTTATCTTAAGATAAGGTATCTCCCCTAATTACTGTGTTTCCTCAGAATCTCCAAATCACTCAGTTCATCCCACACAATATCGTATTGAAACGTCCATTGTATCACTGTCCATGAATGTCGGTACGACCTCTAAATCTCGACCCAAACACAATCTATCTAGTTGTACGTCCAGTGCACATTCAACATGGCATGAACATTGTCCTATGGCTTCGGTCGATAGCCCGAAGAAATTATTAACCCCGATGTTTCAAGAAAAAGGAGAGAAAACATGAACAAGTGGATAATTAGATTCGCCCAAAAAAGGGCAGCCTGAATCAAATAAAAAAATCGGTTTGAATCAAGCCGGACTGAATCATGCCGGGAATCCATTTGTTTCATGTCGATTTGACGGCATGAATCAAGTCGGACTTGGACAGATGCAAACCGGAATATCGGTCCGATTCAAGTTGACTTTTCGGCTAAAAAACGAAAAAAGAATGAAAGTTTATTGAGAAGAGTATGTGCAAGTCCTGGTAAATACGTGAAACAAAGAAAGATACCTTCAAATTGTGTAGTGAATCCAGATGATTTTTCAGCAAAGAGAAAGAAAAAATAGATGAATAATTAGAACGAAAATGGTCTTCAAATATTGAGAATTATGCAGTGCAACCATTTGTTGAAAATGGAGATCCTGTTCATGATTCGGAGATTGATAGCAATGAGATGCCTTATTTCAAATTGCTTCTTTTCTTTCTTAAATTTGTTTCATCCTCTCTACCAATAAATTCCTCTTAAAAATTTTTATATTTGGGACTCATCTATTCAAACGTGCGCTCAGTGCTACGGAACTGCTCGCGCGCTTGCTACTCATCCCATTCTACGTCGAACGTCCGGCCCCCATAGGTAGTGGGGATAAGATTGCGAGTCAAAGGGTTAAAGTCTGTATTCATAAATCAAATCATGAAATTCGAAAAAAAATTTCAAACAAGACTTCATCATACATACAAACACCATCTAAAAATCGCATATTCGGACTTTTTAGGCCATATTTAAGCACCATAATTCCAGGCGCTTTCAAGTGCTTCTTTCCTTCTCTCAGCTCTAATATATTTGCAAATTACGTGAAACCCGCTTTGTCATAATGTTCCAGGGTGAAAAAAATAATGGATTTGATGTGCTGTATCATAATATGAAACATGGAGTTGTGGCGAGCAAAGAATTGGCTGAATTTCTCCGAGAGAGATCGACGATCGAGGAGAACAACTACAAACTGCTCAGCAAAGTTGCTAAACAAGCAAGCAACAGTAGCAGTACACAGGGTACATTTGCACCAGTATGGGCAGCCCTGCGCGGTGCGGCTGAAAAACTCGCGGGTCTTCATCTTCAAATGGCCCAGCGAGTCTCAGAAATTATCAAAGATGTGTCGAAGTACGCTGACGAGCTTCACAAGAGGCACAAGGCTGTTAGTAGATCTGCATAATTGTTTTAAATTGAATGACTGACGGCCCACGATAGCAGTGGTATCTTATTTCTAAATGATTGTACAGTTTCCCTGGGCTTGTTATCAGTTTCCGCCCACTCGGTAGATTCCGTTCTATACTTTCATCGAAAAACATTAACACACACAGACAGAGAGAGGAGAGAGAGAGAGAGAGAGAGAGAGAGAGAGAGAGAGAGAGAGAGAGAGAGAGAGAGAAGTGATTACTTTTCATTTTTCAGGTTAAAGAGGAAGAATCCTCAACCCTCGAGGTCGTTCAGAATATTCAGAGCATCACAGTGACACTCCAGAAGGCCAAGGACATGTGCATGCAGAAGGCGTTGGAGTTGGAGAAGCTTAGGAAGGACAGTGCCAGCCAACGAGAGCTGGAGAAGGCTGAAGCCAAATTTAAGAAGACTCAGGATGACTATAGAACACTTGTGGATAAATACACTGCAGTTAGAAATGATTTTGAGACTAAAATGACAGCTGCATGTAGGGTGAGTTGACATCTGCCTATGTTGGTATTCTCAATCATTTATTTGAAAATCTTATGCACATTAAGGGGAGTGGACGACGAAACAAAAGCCAGAAATATGACCCAAGAAAAAATCTAAAATCTAACATGATCAAAATGAGTAATTAATCTAAAATCTTTAACATGATCAAAAATCTAAAATCTAAAATATGATCAATCTTTAACATGATCAAAATGAGTAATTAAGCATGGCTAAATGGATTTATCCGCCATGTACTTTCAGAGATTCCAAGACGTGGAGGAGACCCATCTCAGACACATGAAGGAGTTCCTCAACACCTACGCAGATGCGCTCCAAACGAATCACGAGCAGGTTGGACAGGTTCACATTGACTTCAAACGCCAGTGCCTGGACATGACGGTGGAAAAGCTACTGGAGCAATTTGTGCAGTCGAAATATACGGGTTTCGAACGGCCAGGTAATCATCGTGACTTTATCAACGACAGTACGAAAGCCACTGATGATGTACGTAATACGCCAGGCGCGATCGAGTATGACGAGGTGATGACGAGTCTAGCTGAGATTGCCAGTCAAACACACCAGTTGGAGGCGACTAATGACACAACAGCCAAGGATGCAACGACCAAAGGAACTAATGGAGAAACAGGCGTTGCTGGTAACAAATCGTATAAGAAAAGTCTCAATTGTAAGGGTTTGGGTAGTTGGGATGGGGAAGGGGAAAAAGAGAGGATTAAGGAAAAGGATAGAGACGCCACCACCAAGGGCTCACGTCGTACCACCTCGCTTCTCAACCTGTTCATGTCCAACTCCCAGGGTAGGTCTTCAAAATAAAATGAATGAAGTAAAAGAAAGATGATGATAAACAATCACAGTTACACAAATTTAATTTCAGTTCTTGCACTCGTGGTTCTTCTGCCTTGATACAAGAGGATAATAATATTTTTATACAGATTCCCAATTATCCCTCAAGAACTGTAGATTTTCATCCGTCTGTGATAATTCATCTCCTTCAGATCTTTAACACAATTTATTTTTCTTGTTATTTATTTGATTTTGTATCGGGGCAGATGATAACATTTATCACGTTTTTTTCAGCACATTTTCGTCAGCAAGAAACAATTCCTCGGGTATCTAGTTTTCACTTTAGAATCGTTCTCATTACGCTTTTTGTGGTCGTGTTTTCGAGCCCCCGCTTATCCATCGTTGCTCTAACAAAACGGGTGGAGGATGATGTACTGAAAGTCGCATATTCCAATTGCAATTTAGTTCATACAATGAGTTTTAATTAAATCGCGGCACTTATTTTTGTTCTGTTTCCGTTGTTTTGATAAATGAAAAAAAGGGGAACGAGTAAGTTTTCATGAGAGCGAAAAAATATGAGCGATGAGTGATTGTTTCAGAGAGACAGAGGCAAGCAGGGTCTGGTTCGGCACCAGTCATACCTCAGGGCAACAATCCGCCTACTGCCGTTCCACCTCCCAGCATCTCCAGGAACCCTTTAAGAGGATCTAAATGTAACTCCTTATTAATCGTGAATTATCTGAACTCTAGAAAATCTTTCTAAACGAGTATTGGAAAATTCAATCGACTGCAATTTGTCGGGTAATTGACGAGGCCAAGGAGATTTATTTCATTCAATCATGATTACAATAATTAAGAATGTCATTCGCTCTACTGAGTCTCTTAACAATTAGAGAACCTTCGCTGTTCAATCATTCTATTTTTATTCATTCCTTTTATGAATAATAGAAAGTATTCCTTCACCAAACAATTATTCTCACCAATAGTTTTTTCAGTTACATAGTTTTTTTTCAATTGATTTTATGATAAAAATTCTCTTTATCCCCTTGGTCTATTCAAATACCCGATTCACATGACTCTACAGTGATGTCTGTTCGTAAAGTAAATTGATTAATTGCAGTCGTTCTCACATACCACGAACAAGAACGACATTTAATTCACTTAAACGTAAACACATTTTCTCACTGCTGTTTTGTTCGCCCTCCAACGAAGAACATTTAGATACCCTGCCTTTTAACTTTAAATTCTATTCATAGCTTTTTCAATTTGATTCAAACGTTCTTGCACGTGCAAGCAAGTACCGCATCGTTTTTCCAATGATAATTTACAAAATTTCAACATCTTCGAATCTTGTTTGCTGTTCAAAAGGGTATTGACTATCGTTGCCTCTTTCTCAACGGGCCAAAACATGGATTAAAATGTTGATAGTGGGTTCTGAAGGGAAAGGTGAACTGTCTTGATGATATCTATCTGCCTTGTTATTTGTTTTACAGAATATGTACTTTCTGCAGGTTTATTGTATATTACACTGGTGATACGTACAACATTACCTCCACTCTGCACCCTAGAACACGCTGTTCACTGGTCAATGGCAAAATTAATCATTAATCAATCTTCTTTGAATACCTGCTGATGACAAAAAAACGCTAACACCTTAATGTTAAACACCAGCTTATTAGATTGACTTCTAATTCTGAAGATGGATGATATAGGGAGATGAGTGTATTTAATCCAGTCGATAAAATAGACTGATCTCCTTCTAACCATTTGTATCAGGATTATTACCACAATGGTTTTACCTAAATTGTTTTTCTAACAATCATTATGGGGCACTGACAGCAAGGGGCCTTCATTGACACTCTTTCCGGGATTGAAACAGTCCAAGTCCATCCGATTGCGACTACTTATCATTGCTCGTTCTTTTCATTTTTTACGTTTTATTTACAACAAACCGTCCACAATTATCCATTGCAATTATTTACACGATGAACGAGAGTCGGATAGTTTCATTCAATCATCGTGTAGTGTGAAATGCACTGTGTACCTTTGTAATTCGTCTTTATGCGACTGAAGAGGGAACATTTTGATAAAGAAGTGTTCAATGTTGAAAATAGAGTAAAAATTCTTGAAAACATTACATGGCAAGTCACGTGACCGTGTAGCAGATTGTTTATTTTAGAAATTTTTACGAACTCGGGAAAACTGTGAGGCAAAAGATGAATGTTCTTTTTTAATTCCGAAAATTTTATTGAATTGAAATCTCGTATATACTTTCGAACGTGATCTTGATAGTTTTTTTCCTGTTTTGATAGTCTGGAATATTCTCCAGTTGCCATTCAGTTTTATATAGCGCTGGAGTACCTAAAAATTATGACTGTAGGATTTAAAAAATGCGGAAAAACATTCTCGAATAGTGTTTTTTAATGACATTGGGAAATAAATCCAATAGAAAGGAAATTGCAAATTAATAATTTACCGTATCTAATGGCTGTTAGATGGTCAGTTGCTGTGATAAATTATCAATTTGCGATCTCCTCTCCCTATAGGACTTCCCTTTGAAAATCCCTTTGAAAATATTCAGTTTTTTTCTTTTCTTTTTTATTGAACAATTATAATTTCTAAGAACTCTGGCATGATATAAAATCAAATGAAAATTGGCGAATACTGTGAAACATAAGGATGAAAAAATAATCGAGACAACGTTCGGAAGTTAACACACCCGGGCCTTGAAACGTAATTCTAACCAAAGGAGTGATATTTGTGAGTCTTTGTAGAAAAAGTACGTTGAGATGGAAAAATTTAGTTAGTGACTCTCACGGAGAAAAATTGCGATTTTTTAGTTTAAATAAGTCTTGGTTTTGTTTTTCTCAATGAAGAGGGATGCGCGTGCGAGAGGGTTAAAAATTACGTTTTGGCTCACATTTTTTCCTGTGCAAACAGATCTGAATTTTCATTAACACATCTTGAGAATTACACGGAAAACAATTTTTTTTTTTACGGAATCGACGTCATACCCCACAATTACGTTTTACTTCTTGTAAAATGTTTTGCTCAGTGTACCTCTCCAGGAGAAAAATGAATTGAAGACGTTTTACACTCGAAGAGCACTTTCCACGCAATAAAAATCATTACACAGCTAGAAATTTGTATTGAGTAATTATCAGAGGGGAGATATGGACTTGAATGAAAGACGTTGAGGGGCAAGGGGCGATGAGTGATGCCTCAGGTGAGCCGTCAAATTATTACAAATTATTGTTTCTTAACTCAATTTTTATCGACTAATGCATGGCTCACTGTTTTTGTGTTTTATTCTAATGAAATGAGATTTCATAAAAAATTTTGTACTTCCCAAGAGTTGCAATGTTATTCTGCGATTTCTTATGAGTCCCCTAATAGCTGTCGAAGCGTAATCTATCTCCAAACTGACAAAAATATTGAATCATCAGTTTGCATGATTTTTTTTCCCCAATTAATCATTTAGTCTTGAAGGATTTTTTAATTTGTTAGAAAAACAATTTATCAAGTTTTTAGCGACTAATTTAGGTGATGGTTGCTGTTTGAGTTCATATTAACCCATTGCGGTACGGAGCTCACGAGAAGCATCGGTGTGAGGGAAGTGGGGGGTTCGTCTGAGTATTAGTGCGCCATAAGAGTAGCAGGCGACGCACGCACACTAGTACAAAAAGATGAAAAGTGGGGTACCGTGATGTGCCGCAGTGGGTTAAAAATAGATCGCCGTTGATAGTAAGCTCCATCGCCGTTAATAATCTTGCATTTGACCTGCTATATGCACAATTAGCCTCTCTCTACCTTGTATCAATTACAATACCGCTACTGATCTGTTTTCGCCAGTAGAAAATGAAAACTTTTGTGAAATAGGGTGAGTGAAAATATATGGGCAATTAAATGACCAGCTATACATATTTTTCCCCCTGCATGAGATAAACAATTGATTTTGATTGGATTCACGTGTAGAAAAATTCAAGGGCGCACTCACTAGAGGTTTCTATTGGAAATTCTATTGAAAAGCAATAGGTTTTGATTTTTCCACAGAACATCGTGTTGAGATTTTTTCAACGTATGTTACTCGGTATGAGTTTTCCAAGTTTTTCCACTGTATTTGCCTTTCTCTTTCATTTCTTTTAATCCATCGAAAAAATCTTGAATTATTTCTGCCGAGGAGTTCTAATAACATGAAAGATCTCTTGATTATTTTAAGTTGAATATTTTCCATTAAAAAAAGGTGAAGAAACTTCGCAATATTCAATAACCATTAGAAAAACAAACAACTAGAATTTTGAATAGTCTATAGCAGATGTATTAAGGTGTTTCATGTGTAGATCTCCGGGGGTGAAACGGAAGTGGGGTCCTATTGTTATCGACCCTGATTCAATCGCCGAACACGAAAAATCCAAATTTTCAAATAGTTTTCCATTATAATATTGACGTTTTGAGCTTCGATTTTTTTTGTGAATTAACAAAGACAAATAAAAAATGGACCATTTGCCTCCAATTAAAAATATTAAACGTTGGAACGGTAAATTAGTAACGGACGCAGTGTATAATTTACGTATGCAACAATCGGGGACGGGGAAAAGTAGGAGAAAGACCGATGACAACGATGAGGGCGATGAGCACACGAGTAAAACACCTTGCCTTGAGGGGTGACGAGTTATAGACTTAGAGACAATGAGAAAACAGATGATTTGGCGAATCAAGTTGAAAATAATAAAAGTATTAAAAAATAGTAGACTACAATTCATACAATCAATATTCTCATTTGAACATTGCAAATTCATAATTTTTTTTCTACAACGCAAGATCTGAGAAAATTTTGGAAAAATTCCCAGTGATGCGGCATACTGAGATAGTTCTTCCTTGAATTTTTCGATTTTTTTTCATTATTTTGACTTTTTACATGAAACACCTTAAGATTTTTTCTTGAATTTTTTCATACGCTTTTTCAATGGTGGACTAAAAATCGTAGAGATTCTTCCTTCGAGAATTGTTTATTTGTTCTTTATAGGCAGTGTCTACACACACGGTATATGGTAATTACCATAGACCCAAGAGAACGTTTGCCATGTATGGAAGACTTGTTTTTTCATGGATCTGTGGAAAGTACCATTGATGGAAGATTTTACCATACGTCTATGGTTTTTACCATGCATCTATGAAAGGGCCATAAACACATGGAAAAAAATTACCATTCGCCGTAAACTTTACCTTACCAAAGCACCACAGGCGACAGGAAAGAAAACCATAGAAGCATGGCAAAAACCATAGACGTATGGTAAAACCTTCCATCAATAGTACTTTTCATAGATACATGGTAAAAAAACAAGCCTTAGATACAGGGTAAAGGTTACCTTGGATCTATGTTAATTATCATGTACCGTGTGTGTAGACACAGCCTTCTTTATATTGCATCCGAATGACTATTTTCATTACTAGATCTCCGGGTAATTATTGAATGATTTTATTAAATTCTGTGTGTGGTGATATCAACAGGGTTTCTTCGCAGTAGACGAGAGAAGAGAAAGGAGAAAAAGGCGAAGAAAAAGAAGGACTCGGTGGATACAAGCAGTAACAAGGAAGAAAAGTCTGATCTGTCAGTATATGCATGATCAGCATACCCAGTGCGACTCATAAATTGTTATTGCAATATTTTTAATATAACCGTGACTAGTTATGATATAGAAGGACATGGCCGCTGGGGTTACTGAAAATCTTTTAATTCATGAACTGGAAGAATTTTCATTTCCCAAAAAAGATAAATAGTTAATTTGATTGAGAGACCCCTTGTGTTTCTCCCATCCAAACGTTCATTCCGCATTATGACTAGTCATATTTTATGCTGAAAAACGTATGTTATATAATCAAAGAGAATTCGATAATTTCCTGAAGCGCGAAGTACACTGGGCTTGCTGAAAGCTTAACAATCTCCTGAATAATGAACTAACATTGATTTTTTTTTTGAATGCCGAATATTCAAATAGAGAGGAGAAGGACGAGAGCCGAAAGTCCGAAACGCCAACACCCGAAGTGGATGAGGATGGTTTTTGCATAAGGCCAAAGCCCGATCCGTGGGAAAATGAGAAAGGTTTTTACTCGAGTTCGGACACTGAATCAGAGGACGAGAGAGAGAGAAAAATAAGAGTTGAGATAAAGCCATTGAGCAATGGTGGTGCACCCATGAGTGCAAGTGTCGATGAGTTGAGAGCAACTGTTGAGAATCTCTCGTTGTCACCGGCACCCACGGGTCGCAGGGGTTCAAATACCGATTCGGATCATCTTATGAAGAGATCTCAGTCAGTTTCTCAACAGCTTGGTAAACCAAGTTCAGATTTACTTGGATTAAATTTATTCAATCCAAGTAGTACACCATCGAGTGCCTCAACACCTACAGCGAGTCATCCTTATGCACCTTTGCAGAGTCCGCCACCAACGTCATCGTCACCAGTGCCACAGAGTGCACCACCACAATTGACAAGTTTACATAGTAAATTTCCTGAGGGTGATTTATTTTCGGAGGTTGGTGATATTACACCTGCATTGCCACCTAAGCAATCAGCCTCGTCTACACCTACGGGGTCAATTGCTATTCCAAGACCACCTTCACGACGCAGTGAGGGCCCAACTAGAGGCCGAGCATCGCCTGCCACTATATCAAGGGCTGACAGTGTCGCTAGTTTGGAGTTTCGCACTGCTGGAGTTGGTGTGGGATCGTCTAGGGGACCGTCACCTCTCACCATTGGACTTGCTGATACCATTCCTCTTGCAGTGGCTTTTCACGAGATTGTTCACTCGTATTTTAGGGGAACTGATGAAAATCGCTGTCAGGTGAAACTCAGTGGTGACATGATGCTATCGTTTCCTGCGGGAATCGTGGCTGTATTGGCAAATAATCCCAGTCCTGCTAAACTGTTGTTTAGAATCAGGAATAGTAATCGTCTTGAAAGATTACTGCCCAATAGCCAACTTCTTAGCATGTGAGTATTTTTTGGATTTTTGTGGTGTTTGTGAGGGGAATGAGAGTCCTAATGGGTTCTTTATGTTGGTTACTCAGTGATGCCACTCAGACGACATCAGACTGTACAATATTCGAGTTTAATATGAGTGCCTTAACCACATTGCTACGTCGTCAGGCAGAGCAGAACCCCTCGGCCTCGTACTTCAATGTGGACATTCTCAAGTATCAAATTAAGAATAAGGAGGGCGCAGGCTCTTGTCCATTTCAACTAGTGGCGTACTGGAAGTGTGAGTCCACACATACAGATCTCAAGGTAATGCTGTCTTAATTATTTAAAAATCTTTGCTCAATTTGCTACTTTATATCAAATTGACCGAATTCAATAAGTCAGTGGTTCGGAAATTAATGGCACATCAGATTTTAAGATTACAAAATTTTAATCATCTGAATTTATTTTTTTCACCAACTTGGAAGACTGCAAGTTTCCAGATACCCTTGGAGATTCTACCTCGTTAGTTTCCATTCATAAATTAATTTATAAAATACACATAAATTAATTTGATTAATTTAATGATTTGTACCTTCAAAACTTAATATTTCATTTAAGCCTCATGAAAAATTGTTATTTTTGTAGTATCACAAATAGTTACTTGTAGAAATGTCAATTTTTTAAATATTTTATAATACAAAAATTCAATAAACGTGTTTCAATATTTTTTTTTCGGATTTCACAGATGCCATGGATGTATGTAGGTTCTTTCATTTCTCGTAAACTTTTTCAAGATTTCAGGATCTTGTCAATTTCAAAAACTTGTCTCAAGATTTTATGAGCTGTCAGTGCCGCCTAGAGGAAACAGTGCGTTGAAATTGTGACGTTTAACTCATCAAAATGCTGATGAATTTTCGTGGAAATGAGATAAGAACAAAATGAGTTTTATTTATAAGTTTGTTCTTGAAAAACGCCCAAAGTGACCATTTTACTCTAATGTCTCTCATCCCAAATTTCAGATCAACGCAGTTTTTAATTAGAAAAAAAAAGATTACCTGAATTTCCAGCATTCACGTTGCTCTACCAGAAGATATCCACCCTTATCTCCCTTAAGGCCTGGGTATACTATCTTTCGAATGTTATCTGGATTTTTTTTTATTTTTCGTAATCCAAATTGTCAATTGAGTGGTACATCATGTAGAAATTCCCAAAAATTATGATAGAATGATAAAAGAAAAAATAGAAAAAAATTTGAACTTTTTCAAAGAGCGTTTTTAATTGAGATTCATAATGAGTTGAAAAAAGTGGAAATTACAAATATCTGATTCGCTGTGGCAAATTATCTATTAACTGTCATTTTCCATGGTGGATAACAAAACACTAACTCCTCATGAGAAGTGACAGCTAGATATCTCAATTTTCAAAACAGTGGTATGTAGTCATGTGCCATTTTTATGTGATAAAAGTGTGATTAAAAAATTCTCCAAAATATTACAACTTTTTTCAAAGAGCCTTTTCCATAATAAATGTCTCTGTGCAATGTGAGAAAAGATTTACGAAATCAGTCTTCCCCCTGCATATTATTGAGTAACACGACGGCATTTGTCACCGTAAATCAGATACATTTTTCAATTTCTTGTTATTCAACTTCTGAATATAAATTAAAAATGCTCTTTGAAAAAATGAAGAATTTTTTCTACTTTTTTTTGATTATTAATTCATAATTTTTTTAAACATGTGCATGATGCAGGACTTAATTGACAATTTTGAGATGACGAAAGATGAAAAAAAACATCGAGATAACGTTCGAAAGATAGTACACCCGGGCCTTAAATTCAAAGAAATTCATAAAAAAATGTTTTCAAAGTTGAGTTAACTCTACCAACTTCTCTACTTTTTACTAATGACTCCTTTTTATTTGTCATTTTCATCCATAGATCGACTACAAGTACAACAGTCGTGCAATGGCCTCCCCAAGTCCCCTCCTGAATTTGCACGTAGCAGCCCCTATAGACGGTGGCTTCAAGACTCTCCACAGTAAGCCCTCAGCCCAGTGGCTGCCCGATACAAACAGATTACTTTGGAAATTCACCGAGCTGTCTCAGCACAGTGAGAGTAATGGAGTTGGTTCATTGAAAGCGCGAGTTGAGCTTGAACGTGGTCCAGGATCTCAAGGGACTATTGTAACTCAGTTCAATTGTGAGGGAACAACTCTCTCAGGCGTTGAATTTGAACTTGTCGGTGCTGGGTACAGACTGAGTCTCGTGAAACGGCGATTTGTATCCGGCAAATATATTTGCGATGGAGACAGCGATCCAAGAACTCGTTACGCTGCTCCACCCTCTAGCACCGAGTGACGTTTACCCGAGTGGTAGCCAAAGTGGGAAACACAGCCAACTTAATCGTAATCGATTCTGTATTGCTCACTGCCGATGCCTTAGACGATCCAATGGACATTGTGCCCAACGGGGATTTAAACCCAAATTACAAACGTGGGATTGAGGGAAGACTAATAAGAGTTTTCGGAATTGAGAATATTCAATTGAAGATATTCATGTGTTAATATTTCATGCATACAAAAGAAAGAAGTTTCAAAACTATTAATGTTAAGATAATAAGTTCCTGGTTGCTTTCTGGAAACATAAAATTATAGAATTAAAAGTTAATGGGTCCATGTACCCGATTCTTAAAATACACAGTCCCAATTTTCACAGATTTTTTTTAAATTAAGGGTACAAGGCTGCTATGAGTTGGAAAAATCAAGAATTATTTAAGTGAGGATCTCTCAATGTTTCTCCTGTATTCCTAATTATCTCCTTTCTGTGTTTTAACATGAATGCAAAGACTGATAATTCGTGTAAAAAAAGTAATTGGTCATTGGCCGCGTAAAATCCTAAAATAATATGATGAGTGAAAAAGCAGTGCCGTGTACTCTATTTTTTAAATAAAACAACTTTTTTCTCCAGAATGTTCTAAAAAAATCAGGGGTCTAACAGCGAAAAAAAATTTGTCAATTTTGCGGAAAAAATTGTTGTCCATCTGAAAAATGAAGTATACTGGATAATTTTTTTGACAATAAACAATGAGTTTTACCACACATGGAATATAGAGAAAACATGGAGATCATCATTCAACCCGTCATGTTTAAAATACATAGCAATATCCCCTCAAATATAAATGTAAGTTTTCTATAAAAAGATACATTAATTCTGAAAAATAACTTAGAAATTTATAATTCAGATACTTATCATAACTCGGAGGCCGAATATTGAAAATGTAACAATACTGTGAAAATATGGACTCTTACAAATAGAGAATTGAACCATTTCTTGATTTTACGTTCGTACAGAGTTGATGAACAACGACTTTTAAAAATTAATAGATAACACGGGAGAATTTTCTATTCAACATCCTGCAACTTGGAAAACTCAGTTATCTACCCTTAAAGGCTGTTGGATACCAAAGAGATATATGATCGTTTCTGATATTGGATGAGCTTATTATTCATTTGGGTTCCTTGTGAAAAGATATGTACGAACACCAAAGGCTTCCTAAGGAATAGAAATGCGAACACAAAATTTAAGGGAATTAAATTAAATTTCATTTGTAAATAGACATGTCTTCAGTTAGAAAATCGTCTTTATGATCTTTTTTTTATTGAATAGGAAGGTAGGGTAGAGGACGAGTGCACTGGCAAGATTTTCTACGCAAAAATGGCGAGGAATTTCGATCTATTTCAGTTAGGAGAAACTTCCGTTGTTAACCCTGTAGTGATCGCGCTTTCGTAAGCGTCCCACTCGCTCTACAGTGGCACCTATATGCTGCGTATGGTTTAGCGGGGATTCCCTCACGATGCAACCACTTAAAGGTCGAGAGATAGGAAAATATTTTATTTGAGAATGCTGAAAATGAAGTTGAAATTTGTTTGTTCTTTGGTGTCCAAACACATTTACCCGTAGCCAGAATAATTTGCCATTTTCTATTGCACTGGATGATTGTGTTAGTTCTTGTTTCGCATGTTGAAATGATTATTTATCCATAATAATTGCGTTAATATACTCGTTACATTGTTCCATATTGTTAGTTGTTGTCATGTTAAACACATGAAATAGACAAATTCAATTATGGTAATTTCGAATCCTTGAATTCGTGGATGATGTTACAATTACTTTCCTTCGAAGTATTCTTTTTTGCTTTTTGCCGCGTGCAAAGTTTATTTGAGAGCAATAATAAGCGATGACTGTATACAAACAAGAGTCGTCAATCTGAATATTACGAATGTTCTTGTGTAAACTTGAGCAACATATACTCATTGTAAATCTTTGGAACGTATGATATTTTACAGAAACATTCCCCTTGACCTCTCCTGAGCAGGTCCACTCGGATTTACTCATCAATTACATATCTGCAGAAAGAGAATGTTTCGCAGACGATAATGAAGAGGAATCAATGATTCATTTGTTTTGGATCGATTGAAACGGCACTTTAAATTATTTCATAAATCATTCCAATTAAACTGATAATTAATTGAATAATTGATGATTATATTTTAAGTTGTCAATATTTCGGTTTTTATAACAATGTCATTTGTATTATAAATGAAGAATAAATACGAAAAAATTTATAAAACACGTTTAACCGAGGACGTTAACGTGAATCAGTGTGGACACGGCTGTAAATAATCTCAATAAAATTATATCAAAAAGAATATTTACATAAATGACGATTGATGATTGTAATGAACAAAAATTCATTTTAAATTATAAGGCTAATGTAAAATTGATTTCTATATTTCAGCACATGCTCAATCTTTATTTTTTCGGTTAAAAACAGGTATCAATTCATTTTCGGTGGATCTGGCCAATATGACCGTCGCTTGTGGGTGTACAATTGAGTGATTCTGTCTACCCTGTTGGTAACAGAAAAGGTGGAATGCCATCTTGTTGATTCTTTTTTGGTAGGTTTGGTCGGGAAAAAATAATGCATTTCACTTTTATGTAAAAATCTTTCATCTTTTCGGGGAGAGGACAAGTACCGTCATCTTATTTCTTCGCATATTCGTGATGAAACTTGTAAATTTTCTTTGTTAATTGAGGCAAATCCAATTTTATTAACATATTTCATTTCTTTTTCATTTAAAATGTTGGAAAATATTAGAATCAAAACTTTAATAATTAAAAAAAAAAAAGTCTTAATATTCTATGTGCAAAAAATTCCATGAGAAAACCTAGTGAATTCGCTAAAAAATTATATTGGGTTTCTATTGAACTTTCTATTAATTTTTGGCCAATTATGTTGCGAAATTCGGCAGCTTAGAAGCGATTTCAAGATCATCCCCATTTTTTGAGTATTCATAATTAAATTTATTACTTATTTTTTTTCTTTTGTCAATTGATTTTTTTGACAATAGTGTGTGTGTGGGG